CCAGCTGGGTTGACCTGGAGCAACCCATGCCGACTTCATCCTGGCCCGGGATGGGTGGCCCAGAAGAACCCAGTACACCCTTCACTCAGGGCCACCAGGGGGCTCTTACCATGTGACCCAGAGCAACCCATACCTGCTCTACCCTGGCTGCTGGGATAGTCCTGCTAAGGCCATCTGGAGCAACACAACGTGCATCTCACTCTGGGCAACAAGAGAGCATGGACTGAGCAACCCAGTGCAATTCGTCCCCGCTCCACACTGAGGAGGGGTGAACTGGAGCAACCCAGCATGTGTCTCTCTCTGGGCTACAATAAAACAAGGTATGACCCACAGCAACCAACGCCCACTCCATCCCTAGCCCAGGGTCTTGTTGCCAGAGAAACCTGGAGTACACCAGCATGTGCCCCACTCAGGCAACAGGGGAGCTCTCACTGTGCTACACAGAAAAAACCCACACTTGCTTCTTCAAGGCCCCTGGAACAGTCCTGCAGGGGCTACCTGGAGCAACACAGCACATGCCTCACTCTGGGCCACAGGAGAGCACTGCCGGGGTGACCCAGAGCAAGCCCGTGTGCCCAGCCAGGGGCCACAGGACCATGCTGTAAGTGTGATGCCAGAGGGACTTAGGGTGCCATGGTGCCACAGGTGCCAGGACTGCAGAGCAATTGCATGCCAGAGGGCTCTGGGTCCTCACAGGGAGTCACACAACAGAGGAACTGTGCATGTGCACCCACCACCCTGAGCATCTGAAACAGACAACTAGGGAACCAGATCCATGACAGAAGGGTATAAAACTCAGAGCAGAGACAATAAAGGAGTGAGACTCAAGGCAGACTCAGCCTCTGGGCTGACGATTTCCAGACAATTGACCTGATAGAGTCTTCAACCTCTCAAACTCCATACTGGGTGCCCAGGGCCAGAAAGGGACAGCAAAAATGGGGAGACAAAGAAACAACTCACCCAAGGAAAGAAAAGGAGGAATCTCCAGAAAAGGAACTAAATGAAACAAAGGCATGCAATATGTCAGAAAAACAATTCAGAGTAAGGGTCATACAGTTCATAAACTACTTGGATGAGAAAATCAACAACTTATGTAAGAATCACGAGGAAATCAAGAATGATATAGCTACAGTAAAAAACAGGATGGCAGGATTCAACAGTAGACTAGTAGTGGAGAACTAAATTAGTGAGTTAGAAGATAGGGGAGAAAACACAAAATCTGAGCAGCAATTGGATGAAAAATTAGAAAGCAGGAGGAGAGCCTAAGGGAGCTTTACGAGGAAATGAATGATATAGCTACAGTAAAAAACAGGATGGCAGGATTCAACAGTAGACTAGTAGTGGAGAAGTAAATTAGTGAGTTAGAAGATAGGGGAGAAAACACAAAATCTGAGCAGCAATTGGATGAAAAATTAGAAAGCAGGAGGAGAGCCTAAGGGAGCTTTGGGACAACATGAAACAAAGTAATATATATATATATATA